CGCCCTCCATGTGTCCCCCCCACCGCTGACATGGCTGTCGCCAGGCCTGGCACCCAGGGTGCAGGGCCTGGAACCCAGGGTGTAGGGCCTGGCAGGTGCCTGAGCCCCAACCTTCAGACCCAAGAAGCCCCAACCCCGGTCACCGTCTCCTCTTCTACCTCCACCTCATCACCCTCCTCTTGGTCAGCTCAGCCTACCTGCAAGAGCGATCCTGGCTTCCGGTGAGAGGGCTCTTTCCCACTGAAGATTGTTGGGACCTGAGCTTTGGGACTAGCCATTTTTCCAGGGTAGATGATACCCTGCCTCAGCTTATCTCCCTAAGGAGGGTCCTCACAGGAGGGGGTGTGTTGGGCCCATTCTAGGACTCTCAGAAGACAGTCACCCCTCCTAAGGAATTTGCCCCAGCTCTCAATTAATCTCCCCAGGGGTGGGGGGCGAGGATCTGGTAGGAAGGAGGCCCGGTCCATGTGAGTCCTCCTAAGGGTTTACACCTACGCCTACCTCAATTTATTTTCCCAGAGAGAACCCCTGGGGGCGGGGCAGGTTGAGGGTGAGTGGAGCCCAGCAGTCAACCCTCCTATACCCCTGCTCCCAGGATCACTGTGGTCACGTGGAACGTGGGCACCGCCATGCCCCCGGACGACGTCACATCCCTCCTCCACCTGGGCGGTGGCGATGACAGTGACGGCGCAGACATGATCGCCATAGGGTGAGGAGGGAAGGGTGCGAGAGCCACCTCCTGAGCCCCTGGGGGAGAGATGGACCCTCACCAAAGGAGGGCGCTCCTAGGGCGCCCCTCTTGGCCAACCCCACCCCCGTCTCCCCAGGTTGCAGGAAGTGAACTCCATGATCAACAAGCGACTCAAGGACGCTCTCTTCACCGACCAGTGGACCGAGCTCTTCATGGACGCGCTGGGGCCCTTCAACTTTGTGCTGGTAATGCGCCCCTGACTGCCTGGACGGGCGGGGACCCTGCAGGATTCCCGGCCCCAGCCCTGTCCGCCTCCAGCCCTGCTGGCCTCAGGGTTGGGCCCACTAGGCCCCTGTTGCCGGGTCTGTGAAATAGAAGCAGACCTTATGGACAGGGGGGGGTGTCCAGTCCCGCAGCCGCATTGCCTCGCACCCCTGCAGGTGAGCACGGTGAGGATGCAGGGCGTCATCCTGCTGCTTTTCGCCAAGTACTACCACCTGCCCTTCCTGCGGGACGTGCAGACCGACTGCACTCGCACCGGCTTGGGTGGCTACTGGGTGAGTGTGGGAGCGGGCCCAGGAGAGAAGGGTCCCAGAAGAGCCCCCGGGTCCCCTAGGCACCAGCAATGACCTCTCCCTACGCTCCACCCCTTACTCTGCGATCTCCCCTTCCCCAAGCACCGCTCAACACCACACCCCTTTCCTGTAGGCCTCCTGGCAATTCCTCCCTCCCGCGGCGTCCCAGGGTTCTGCCACCCCCAAAACCTGTCCTCTTCCCCACTTTACGTCCCGCCCAGTACCTCTCCTCCTTGCCTAGGCCCCGCCCATGACCCGCCCAACCCTGCCTCCCCAGGGTAACAAGGGTGGGGTGAGCGTGCGCCTGGCGGTTTTCGGGCACATGCTCTGCTTCCTGAACTGCCACTTGCCCGCGCATATGGACAAGGCAGAGCAGCGCAAGGACAACTTCCAGACCATTCTTAGCCTCCAGCAATTCCAGGGACCTGGCGCACAAGGAATCCTAGATCACGAGTAAGGACGGGGTCGGGGTGAGGCGCCAGAGGAGCTTGGGCGGGGCTAATGGGGTTGCATACCTGCCTCGGTGGAGTTTAGGAAGGGGGCGGGGCCTATGGAGGGGAGTGACCCTACAGATGCTGGAATGCAGGTTCACAGATTGAAGGGGAGGCGGAGCCTGCAGGGTGGCATTTTGCTGAGGGGCAGGACCTTGCTGAGGGTTGGAACCTAATTTCCTCTAGACCCGCCCTCCCCACCCTCCTCTGTTCCTTGGCCGGCTGGAGGTCCTGGCCCACCTACCCACCCACTAGAAGTACCAGTGTTTCCAGGTTAGATGGAGGCCAGGAAGGATCTGAGTTGAACCTTTCCACACGCATGGAGCACTGACCCTCCAACCCTGAACAGCCTTGTGTTCTGGTTCGGGGACCTGAATTTTCGAATCGAGAGCTACGACCTGCACTTTGTCAAGTTGGCCATCGATAATGACCAGCTCCAGCAGCTCTGGGAGAAGGACCAGGTGGGGAACCCCAGCCATGCCCCCCCAATTCCCAGAGCACTCAGAGCACTTGTCAGGTTTCGAACCAGTACCTTAGGGGACAGGTCGTTGCCCTCACCTGCCACGCCCCCTCCCCGGATGCTGGAAGACCCACGAGTTGTTCAAGTCTGCCTTCTGGACCTCCACAGCTCAACATGGCCAAGAACACCTGGCCCATCCTGAAGGGCTTCCAGGAAGGGCCCCTTAACTTTGCTCCCACCTTCAAGTTTGATGTGGGTACCAACAAATATGATACCAGGTGAGCACATTGCTGGGTGGGGCGGGGACATGGGCTGTGGTCTTCTGGAAGACTGTGGGAAGAGAGGCAGGAGACAAGCCTGGGGTCTGTGCCTTGACCTCCCCCAGCCCCTGAAACTTGGGCTACCCCTGCCCACTGCAGTGCCAAGAAGCGGAAACCAGCCTGGACAGACCGAATCCTGTGGAAGGTCAAGGCTCCGAGTGGAGGTCCTAGCCCCTCAGGACGGGAGAGCCACCGGCTCCAAGTGACCCAGCACAACTACCGCAGCCACATGGAGTACACAGTCAGCGATCACAAGCCTGTGGCCGCCAACTTCATCCTCCAGGTGAGTCCTGGTCTCATTCCCTCTTAAAGGATCCCAAGGCCCTACTTAGCATCCATAGCCCATCAGTAACCCCTCAGCCCTTCCCACAGAGTTCATTTGCCATAACGGAGTGTGTGTGGTGGGGAGGGTTATGATCTCTATTTTCAGATAAGGAAGTTGAGGTTCAGAGACACAGCATCACCTGCGGGGGTCACACAGCTAGTAAGAGGAAGAGTTAGGATTTTGAACCCAAGCTGGTGTGATTTCAGACCACATGCCTTTCTTGCTGACCTCTAATTCTCTTCTTCAGAGGAAAGTTTAGGGAAATGTATGTTAAAATTCACATGCATAATCAAACCAGCAAAATGAAAATGTTTGCTCAGACCTCATGTAGCATTCATTCATTATTTTCTGAGTGCTTCTCATAGGCATTTATGAGCATGAGGTAGTGGCTGAGAAGGGCAGTAGAGATATAGAAAAATACAAAACTAAACTCTTTTTTTAAAAAATATTTATTTTATTTTATTTGTTATTGTTATTTTCTAATTTGACCAGAGAGAGACACAAGGAAAGAGAGAGAAAGGGAAAGTTAGAAAGCAAGCTGCCAGGTCCGGGACTTGAAACGCGGTCAGCCATGTGAGAGTCCAGCACCTTAACCTCCACATTACTGCTGGCCCCCAAAACTTAACTCTTAATAGTTACTACTGGTCGTCAGAAAAGTCATGGTATGTTTCTCTCTGTAAAAATATGTGCTGACTTTTTGACAACCTAATCCAATTTAGTAATTGAATTTAGGAGGAGGACCCTGGAGGTCAAAGTAAAAAGGGGAGAGCCTAAAATGTCAGAACTAGACCCGAAAGACCATGCGATCCAACTTCCAGTTTGTTTGTTTGTTTGTTTTTGAGAGTTTTTTTGCTATAGGGCACATGCGCTTGCCAGAAAGAGTGAGACAGAGAGAGAAAAACTGAGAAATCAACCCCCCCAGGGGGGATAGCCATGCTGCAATCCCTTCTCCTCAATTCTCCTCTCGGGATCCTGGGCATGCACACACACACGCCTGGTGTGAGTTTAAACCACCAGGTCCAGGACTCGAACCATGGTCAACTACGTGGGAGTCCAGAGACATAGCTATTACATCAACTGCTGGTCCTACCAACTCCCTGTTTTTCCTGTGGCAGAATCTGAGGCTCCTAACAGAGTAGGCACATGTCCCGAGTCTCACACAAGATCACCACTGGCAGAATCGGGAAGAGCCCATCTTTTGAGTCATTAAATCACTCAGGCCTGAGTATCTCAATCTGATGAGGGAGCCCTGCAGGCCAGAGAATGTTTTTCCTAGTAACTTTGTCACATGGTCAGTCAGTTGGATGTTGGCCAATATCTTCAACTGGGGATGGAAATCTGCCCACGCCTGGCCTCCTGTGACCTTTGGTAAAGAGCTCAGGTGTGAAGTTTAACCCTCAATCAGGAACTTCTCCGTGAGAACCACTCCTTTTAGTATCCCACCTTGTCTTTTATTACTGGTTATTGCCAGTGACTTTGTCCCTTAAAACACATAACCTGGGGCCAGCAAGTGGCGTGGTGGTTAAGGCGCTGGACTCCCACATGGCCGACCACAGTTTGAGTCTCAGATCTGGTGGCTTGCTTTCTCACTTTCTCTCTCTCTCTCTTCCTCTCTCTCTCTGGTACAGCAAAATTTAAAAATAATGATAATAATAATAATAAACCCACGTAACCTGTTGAGTACCTAGTACTTTGGATCAAGCACTTACATATGTCATCCCTGAGTTCCACGGTAGATACTGAGGTGTCCAAGTTCTCCTCCCCATTTTACTGGTGAGCGGAACTGAGGCTCAGAGAACTTAAGTCTCTTACCTAAGGCAGCGGGGACAGAATAGGGCTCAGCAGAGACTTTGACCCTGCAAGGTCTCCAAGGGCATTTTCAATGAACTGCCCTTTCCAGACACTATTGTCAGGAACTCAGGGACAGGGAGAGGGTGTGCTGGTTTGTTCTGGAGCAGCTTGGCCCAGCTCAGGAAAGGAAATCTGAAACCAGATAAACAGAGGCGCAGACAAAGGCCTGAGACTGGCACTACCTGAGTCTCTCCCTGAGAGACAGAGGTGGAGCCAGCAGCATAGCTGCTTGTCACCTTGGCAACTCCACCCATGCGGGTGACCCCCTGGTCAGCCTGCAGTGCCCCTGGGGTCAGTGCAGAATACTCCTGGCTCTAATTGCCCTCTTGGACTGTTGACATGACAATAGTTCATGCCTCTTAGCACTTCGATTCAGAGAGGGCCCAGCAGCAGGGCTGCCTGTCACCTCGGCAACTCCACCCATGCGGGTGACCCCCTGGGGTCAGTGCAGAATACTCCTGGTTCTAATTGCCCTCTTGGACTGTTGACATGACAATAGTTCATGCCTCTTAGCACTTCGATTCAGAGAGGGCAGGGGCCTTGCCTGAGGTCACCAAGAAAATTAGCGGCAGGGCCTGGAAATGAACTGAGACCTCCAGGCTCGCACTCAGGGCTCTCCTGGCCTGCTCAGGGGTGTTTAGCTTACCCCAGAATACCCAGTGCTTCACCGGGCTTTTCCTGTCTCCCTTGTTAGCTTAAAGACAAATTCTTTATTGAGCAGCTACGATCCTATTGGAAAGTTTACAAGATGCTTTGCAAATGATTATCTCATTGAACCTGCAGAACAGCCCCAAGAGTTCAACGACAGCTTCTGAATTTACAGGCAAGGGCACTGGCATTCAGAGGCAGAGGAACTCACCCAGAGTTGCGCAGCCTGTCCGTGGCAGAGCCAGGGCCAAATTCAGGATCTGCCAGCTTCAAAGCTGTGTTCCACTCACTCTCTGAGGCTAGCTATGGGCAGGAGCCCTAGAATGGAAGGCAGGACGCTTGGCGTTTATACTAGACCTGCTCTGCCTCAGTTTCCCCATCTGTGAAATCGCCTCCACGGCCCTTTCCGTCTAAGCCCATTCACACTGATTCAGGCCCCGGAACCTTAGGTATGTGAGATGCGAGGGAGTCTCCCTCACATCGGCCCCTGCCCTGCCTTGCCGGGGCAGTTTGCCTTCAGGGACGACATGCCGCTGGTGCGGCTGGAGGTGGCCGACGAGTGGCTGCGGCCGGAACAGGCCGTGGTGAGGTACCGCATGGAAACGGTGTTCGCCCGCAGTTCCTGGGACTGGATCGGCTTGTGCCGGGTGAGGAGGGCGTGAGTGGCCTGCGACTTGGGGAGGGGCGGGCTGGAGGAGCAGCTGGGCACCAGGTGGGGCCACTGGCTTGTCCAGAGTTCGATGGCACACTAGGTGGCTGCTGGGATCTGACCTCGGCGTCATGTCCCTCATTCCTGTCACCCCAGGTGGGTTTCCGCCACTGCAAGGACTACGTGGCTTATGTCTGGGCCAAACACGAAGATGTGGATGGGAGCATCTACCAGGTACCAAAAAGGGGGGGGGTGTTGGGAGGAGCTCCTTACCCGTGGCACTTTGGGACTCAGTGTGGGGACTCCTGAGTCTGCCTCCCTGACTCCACCTTGGGCCGATACCCTTGGGCCCACTAGGTGACGTTCAGCGAAGAGTCATTACCCAAGGGCCACGGTGACTTCATCCTGGGCTATTATAGCCACAACCACGGCATCCTCATCGGTGTCACTGAACCCTTCCAGGTAAACACGCTGGACTGCAGTCAGGGATGCCAGGACCCTGCTGGAATGCCACCGCCTCTGCACCCTGCTCCATGCCCTCATTCTAGTAGTCTTACTCCCTGGGTCTGTCAGTGGGGAGGGCTGGGGTGGCTCCAAGAGGCCTCAGTGGCCGGATTGGGGAGCAGAGTGCGCCAGTGACCGGGATTGCCCCCAGATCTCGCTGCCTACCTCGGAGTCCACCAGCAGCAGTGCAGACAGCTCGGGGACCAGCTCGGAGGGTGAGGATGACAGCACTCTGGAGCTGCTCGCACCCAAGTCCCGTAGCCCCAGTCCTGGCAAGTCCAAGAGACACCGGAGCCGCAGCCCGGGCCTGGCCCGTTTCCCCAGTCTTGCCCTACGGCCCTCGTCCCGGGAACGCCGTGGTACCAGCCGTAGCCCTTCACCCCAGAGCCGCCGGCCACCGAGGGTGGCCCCTGATAAGAGCAGTGGTAGCAGCAGCCGGGGCAGTAGTGAGGAGGGACCCTCTGGGCTGCCTGGCCCCTGGGCCTTCCCACCAGCTATGCCTCGAAGCCTGGGCCTGCTGCCCGCCTTGCGCCTGGAGACCGTAGACCCTGGTGGTGGTGGCTCCTGGGGATCCAGTCGGGAGGCCTCGGCCCCTGACAGCCTGTCTCCCAGCCCCCAGGGTCAGCAGAGGCTGGAGGAAGGGGGCCTGGGGCCTTGAGGGCAGCAGCGATGGGGGCCCTGGTGGCCCCCCCTCCACCTTAATCTTCCACAGACCCACCTGCCTCTCCTGCTGCTGCTCCAGCTGTGTCTGTCCCTGCCACTCTATCCTGGCCAGGGGTGGCCAGCTGGGTTTTCCCAAACTTCGTCCTGGCCCTTCAACTGTGACAATCAGCAAAGCCCTACTTGGGGTCCCCATGTGGGATGGTGGGGAGCTCTGGCAGATGTCCTGATCCTGGTGGTCCTCCATTGGGAATTAAACTCCAGCCTCACTCCCGTCTCCTTTCTACTTGCGAACAGTCTGGGCGTGGGACTAAAAAGGTATAGACCAGCAGATGGCATAATGGTTACATCGCTGAACTCCCACGTAGCCAACCGTGGTTCAAGTCCCAGACCCAGTGACTTGAAACTTACGCCAGGCAGGTGTGTATGTGTGCCCAGAATCCTGAGACAAGGGATTGCAGCATGGCCATCCCCCCGGGAGTTGATTTCTCATTTCCTGTGTCTCTGGCAAGAGCATGCACCCTAGAACAAAAATCTCTCAAAGAAAAAAAAAAAAAGTATGGATCAAAGAGCCAACCAAGGGAGTGACAGAGCTGACATTTACCGGGCACCAGCCATATACACGACCCATGTCGTCTCTTCTCATCTGTACCACAGCCCAGTGGGTTCGGTGCCATTCTTAGCCCCAGTTCACAGGTGAGCAAACTGAGGTCTCCAAGAAGTTACAGCAGCCTTTCAAACTCAGACACAAAGCACAGACTGGCCGTGTGGGAGGGAAGGAGCGCTCACTCGGTGCTAAGCGTCATCATGCATTGGTACATTTCATCCTCAACAACCCTGTGAGGTAGCTCTCGTTGAGGACCCTCCTTTTCAGAGGAGAAAACAAAGGCTGAGAACTGGGGAGAGGAGCCCCTTGCCCAAGGGCATGGGGGAGATTTGAATTTAGGTTTAGGCCAGGAGGAATGATCCAGGACTGGGTTAGGAAAATCACAGCAGCTAGTATAAAAAGGGGCCCCCTGGGAGGAGGAGTTAGGACGTCCTCCGCAGACCCCCCACCTTCCTATACCCAGACACAGGCACTTCTGTGGCATCTCTTAAACTCCCTGCCTGCTGCCCCAGGCCTTAGCAGCCTGGCACTGGGGCTCCCCTCAGCAAGTTCTTGAGAAATCGCTTTTGCAACATGGGCATGCATGCACCTACTCCTGGTACCTCCCAGGACTGCTGCAATAAGTTACCCTCCCCGCACAGTCATCCATACATGAAGTTCCCCAGCAAGGCTCAAGCCTGGAGCATCAGAATGAGCCTCCCAAACACCATATCCAGGCACAGAGAGGTTGTGTCACCAGCCCAGGATCAGCCAGTGCAGCAGGTGATGTGGTTCAGCATTTGAGGACTCCCGCTCCCACTGTCCTGCCTTCTAGCTGTCCACAAGAGCCTCTACCATGCCTCGGTCTCACCCATGGAGAGGAGGTGGAGAATTCCAGGGCCCAGCAAAGCCAGGAACAAGGTCCAGGCTGGTGCCCAGGAGAGCTGACTGAGGTCACTGGCTCCATGATTTCTGCCTCCCGTCAGGTCTTTGGGCTGCCTGGGTTAGCTTCAGGCACTGGTCATAGAATGACACGGGGGCTCCTGTGTCCTCCGAAGGCCACACCTGTCCCTCAGCTGTGCCTGTATCCTGGAACTGGAGTCGCCTTTGCTGAAGCCGCCGCAAGTGCTGAGCTGACACCTTGATGGCCCTGGGGTCTCTGGAACAGCTGTGGAGAGAGAGGAGTGTGGCAAGTGGTTAGGGCTGGCTGGGTCCCCCGGCGTACTCTGCACACAGGAGAAGGGCAGGGTTTGGGCCAGAGTCACCAGCAAGGCCGGGTTATACCTGAGAGGGTAAATTAAACCTGGGTTGGTACCCAGAGGCCTGGGTGCTGCCACTCCCTGGTTGTGGACACCTGAGCCAATCTGGGTCTCAGTTTCTTCACCTGGGCAATGGGAAAGGTAACCGGAGTCTGCCTTTGAGAATCAGACGCTAAATGAGATCGTGGGTTGGGAGTAAGAGTTAAGTATTTCATGGTGTGCCAGGCAGGCCTTGGGCTCTCTAAGTCGCACACGCCATACCCTTGGTTCCTACAACCGTGTCACAGATAAGGAAATGGAGGCTTGAAAGGTAAACTAAGGTGCCAGGGACACACAGGAATTAAATGACTGAGCCAAGATGTAGCCCACACAGGCCAACTGCAGAGCTGAACCCCGGGCACCAGGGGGCAGAAGCATGATGACACGGGGAGCTCGGTGGACCCACCCCCCACTCTCTCCCCAGGCCACCCTTGGAAAAAGAACCCATCCCTGCCAGCTCTGCCCTCACTTACCCTTTGCCCTCTGCACAGACCAGTGGAGGAGCCAGCTTGAAGCAGGTCGTGCCCAGCAGCTCCCAAAGCACACTGGTGCCCGCAGGTAGGCCATGGAGCTTCGCGTTGCGCGCCAGACTGAGGACAGAGGCAGTCTCAGGCTGGGGCAGGGCCTCGCCAGCCAGGTACCCCTCCCTGTGCCTGGCAGTGGGCAGCCCGTCCCCAGGGTCCCAGCAGGCCTCACCGGCGTGTGCAGTTACAGTGGAAGAGGGGCTCCTGGGCTGCGTTGTGCAGCTGGAACTTGGTTTCCTGGGGCCCAATCTGGTGCTCACACTGGTCCAGGCGGCGGAAGCTGCGGCAGGCCCGTCGGGGACCTGAGGTAGCAGGGGGTGGTGAGGTGAGCCCAGTCCACCAGGGAGGCCCCCACAAAGCCTACTGCCGTCCAGGAGAAACACTAGCACGTGTGCTCAGTTAAACACAGTCTCCCTCAGTCTTAGGCTTTTTGTATTCTAATAAACATAGTCTCCCTCAGTCTTAGGCTTTTTGTATTCTCACAACCATCCACAGGGGAGAGTGGTCCTCTCCTCCACCCCAACCCACCCCCCCACACACACACAGACACATACACAGCAGGGCCACCACTAAGGAAGCCCCCCAACACACACACACACATACACAGCAGGGCCACCACTAAGGAAGTTCAGAGTGTGAAAGTAGTCAGGAAGGGCTTCCTGGAGGCAGAGACTGCTAAGCTGAGGCTGGGAGAGGAGAGGACTCCAGACAGAAGGAACAGCATGTGCAAAGACCAAGAGCAGGGAGAGAACAAGCTGCTCTTGAGGAACCAAATGAAGTTTGTGAAACTGGTAGGGTCTGAGGGGTCAGAGTCTGAGGGTCCCTGGGTGCTGGGACATCTTTAGCTAAGATAAAGAGGAGCCACAGTGGAGGGTGGGGAGTGGGGCTCGGCGGGGAGTTGCATGGTCAACTCCTTGGATTGTGAACACTCCTTGCTGCTGTGTGATTTGGCAAGGAATTGGGAGACCCCGGGAGGCATTTGGAGCAGGAAAGGAGACAGCACACGGACCCCAACCCCGCACATGCACAGAGGCAGGGACACCCCCTCCCATCAAGAACCCGCAAGGTTGGGTTCTGAGCTCACCTCGAGGTTTTAGGCTAGCCTGTGGGCCCTGGCGGTCTGGATGGGAGCTCCCTGGTTGGGCTGTGGGTGCCACATCAGGCCTGGGAGAGGCCACGGAAGCCTGGAGGGCTGCGACGTTGGCTTTGCTGGGATGCTCGGACCCTTTCAGCTGCTTTGAAGGATGCTGCTTCTGTTGTGCTTTGGTAGCAGCTGGGGGTTGGGGGCTAGGGGTCAGGGAGGTGGCTGGAGAGTTCCAGGATGCATTGTACTGGGTCCTGGGCTGGAGGCGGGCAAGCAGCGCCGAGCCATACTTCCTGCACCTGAGGGTGATGGTCGGTGGCAATCGGTGACCTGAAATCCCCCTCCCAGAAGCCCCAGGGTCATCTTCATGGAGACCCACAGCTTTGCTAATCCCTTCTCCCTTCCCACTGGTTTTGGGGGGCCCCCAAGGATGGTCTCCCTCCTGGGCCCTGCCCTGAGGAGAGGACAAGCCTGAAGGTCAGACAGACAGCCCTCCCTCACCAGGTTTAGGGGCCAGGCAGCTCCCCTTCTGGCAGGGAAGGGATCAAGGGGGCAGCCACATACCCGCCCCACCAGTACCACGCCACACAGGCCTCCTGCTCCTCCAGCACGAAACAGGGGGTCTCCAGCACGTTGAAGAAGGCCACGCCCACGATGTCTGAGATGGAGTCACGCTGGTTCCTCAGGCATTGCCGGAATCTGCCCCAGAGCCAGCACTCAGGTCCCTGGACCACAGCTGGCTCCTCCCTGAGCCCACCCTGCCATTGCCAGCCAGCTAGTTTTGGGGTCCATGAGCCTCTTCTCCTCTCAGGTCTCAGCTGTCCTACCTGCACCCTGGGGTCCTGGCTGCCTCGTCTTTGGGATGCTCTGGAATCCCTGTGTCTACACACAGGAACTGGGTTACTCTGCCCCGTCCCTGAGCCCCCGCCCACCTGGCGTCACAGTCGCAGTGGGAGATGGTGTGGAATCGGTAGTTCCGGATGCCGTAGTTGTACTGCAAGGGCGAGATGTTCTGTGGACAGAGGTCATGCTCCCGACAGCAGAGATCGGGGCCCTGGAAGATCCCTGCAGGGAAGGGAGGGGGCGCCAGCTCAGCGGGGTCCTGGGCACCATCCACCAGCTATGCCCACCAGCTGGTGCCCACTAGCAAGAGGGCAGAGACCTGGTTCTCACCCCAGCCCTGACACAAATGCCCTGTGTGGCCTCAGGCCAGTCACACCCTCTGTGAGAATCACGCTGTTTCAAACGTAAGAGCCCACCCAGGATGCAGCCCCTGTGGGCAACTCCAAGTGTCAGGCACCCACCCACCCATGTGCACACGGAAAGGTCTTCCACAGGGTTAGAGTCAGCCCGCAAAGTTCCCAAGCTCACGCCCCAAATAAAACTCCCGAGGTATGAATATGTGTGTGTGGAATGGCAAACAGGCTGGGTGCAACCTTTTGCACTGGCACAATAAGGTGTTGCCAGGATGCCAACCTGCTCCAACTCCAGTGCCAAGTCCTACCAACCTTCCACACATGCACACAGACAGCTGTACTGAGTGCAAAAAATAAATAAATAACAATCACCCAGGTTTACCACCATCCGAGTGGTATTGCCCTTCCGCCCACCCGGGTTCCCACCCACAAGCTCACAGCATTCC